AGTTTTCATGCATCCACGTGTATACATACGTATGTATGTGCAAACGTACATACTTGGAAATGCATTTTGGCATTCCTGCTGTCGCTCTTGCTGTCTGTCGCCAATTCAAAATTCAAATAACTTTAATTGCTATTTAATTCTGCAGCAATTCATTTCATGTATAATCACAGAACAATAATGAACGCTATGAGTACCTGAAACCTGAGGTGACAGCAGTACGAGGGTAAGCCTGAATGTATTGGAAAACCGACCACCAGATGGCGTTTGTTGGGACACCATGCTATTATTTTCGAAAGCCTAATGCTTTTTAAGTAAACAGCACCGACAGATAAAAACTCAACCTCCAACGAACTGATTGCACCTTATCAGTGTGGCTTTAGACCTGGAAAATCAACCATAGACCAGGTATTCACAATACGCCAAATCTTGGAAAAAACTTGCAAGAATAGGATCCGCACACACCATTTATTTGTCGATTTGAAAGCCGCTTTCGACAGCACGAAAGGAAGTTATCTTAATTACGCGATTTCTGAATGGAGTAAAATGGAGTTGGCAAATTTACCAGCACCGTCATATTTTAGAACGTAAAATTCATATGCTTTCATTGTTTTTTTTTTTGTTTTAGAAACTTTCAGAGTTACCCTCGCATTAAAGTTACTACATTTGTACGTGACAATATTTTCAACTTTTCCACGCAATTCCCTGTCAAGTTGAGAAGGCGAAAGACCCTTCTGTTACGTTTTGGAAATCAGTTTCAGAAATAAATGTTGCAAGATGTTTTTGCAATTAAAAGAGCAAAAATCGTTGCCATATGTCGCTGATCGCGAGTTAGTGAGACATAAAAACCCACAATTTTGAATAATAAAGTTCAGAAATATTTTAAATTAATTATCTCTCGGAACTCAGTTGTCCAGTTATGAATAATAAATTAATCTTCAAACTGAAAATAACGTTTATTAAAAGGAAGAGAAGTAACAAACAACCGGCAAAGCGGCTCAGGGTTGCATTTCATTATCGAGCAGGATTTCTAGAAATTCATTCGCTGTGTGAACAGCCACAAACCTTCAGAAATTTCGTCTGCTCATGCAACTGCTTTCAGAAATTTTTCAGTTTGACAGCCATGACATGCATTGCTATGCCTGAAAGCCTCATAAGTGTGGTTTTCTCAGAACGCCAATAGCCAATCTTACTATGTACACTTGCATAAATCATTAGGGGTTTTTGTTATTGTCACATGCAGTTATTATAACTAAATAGTAATGGTAAATTTTGCAAATTGTACACATACATCTGCGCATACACACAAACAAAACCATTAAATGCAATGCATGAGCCGAAATAGCTGGAAATTACAAATATGAATTAAAGAATTTATTAAAAATTTATATTTATTTTCAAGTGCTTGTTGCTTTCAGGTTTTATTGTCTTCAATTAAGTTGTATTCATGGTACTAATTAAAAATGCTATTTAAATTTAGAGCCACCTTTTGGGAGCTAAGCTTCCATCCCAAGTCCAATTCATTCCTTAATTTAAATGTATACGGTCGTTCAAAATTAAACGCACAAAGATTGATTTTACACAAAAGTAGGCTCGAAGTGTTTTCTAAGCTGTTTCTTTGTCATTTAGAACTTGTCAAAATGAAAAAAAAATGGACAAGTTGGGTCAGTGAAATTTTTCTGGAGCTTGTTACTTTGTGCAAAAATTAAGAAATCATGGGCTTGACGGCGGAAGTTTTCTGAAAAACATGTTTTTTATTGTTTAAACTAACTTTATTTACGGTTATAGCTTAAATATTTGTATTTACCCTGCAGGAAATGGGACTAGTTTGTAGCTAACTATTAACTAGCTAGCGGTCGACTAGTGGTAACTATTTATTAACTATTCTCGGAACTGGTTTCCTCTGCATTAGATGTCAACTAGCTTGTAGCTAACTGCTTTTGGACATAAAATATAAATAAGAAAAACAAAATAATATTTTGGTGTTCTTACTTTTTATTTATTTAAACAAACATTTAAAAAAAAACTGTGCATACCCGTATCAAAAAACTACTAACTGGCCAATACTCTCATCTGTCTTTTACCTCCCCACAATCTTTCGAAAGACGAGAGTTTTTATATTCCGGCAACTACCTTGAAAGCTCTTTTCTTGTATTTCGAATGATCTGCCAACGAGGAGGATAAGAGTCTATAAGCAATAAGTTTTCTAAAAACGAAAGGAAACTAAAATTTTTTTAACAAGAAAAACTACATATATATTTGAGAAAATGAAATTAAAAAAAGAAAAAAGAAGAATAAAAAAAGTTGCCAAACAAGCTTCAAAATCATTTGTTAAAAAGTTAGGAAAAGGTCTTCTTTAAATCATCAATTCAATTAAATACCGTTACCGAATCATTAACTAAATCTGAGAGGGAATTTTTTCAAATCGTTACTGAGGAACACTTTAAGTTATTGGTTAACGAATCTGAGTGCGGCAATAAGTGAAACCAATTTTTTTTAAGCTGAAACACGGTAAATTACAAATATCGCTAAAACTTATCCATAAAAAACAATTAGCTCGATTTTCGGCCCATCCGGTGGACAAAAAAAAGACGGAAACTTGTGATGCAGTGTAATAATATCAGGCCTTCTCTAAAAGGAAGTCACAGCTGAAAATTCTAAGTGTCTCAAAGCAGCTGAATGAATACTGATATTAACCTAACCTAACGCTACATATTACTAAGTAGAATCTTTTGTTGCGCTCAATAGCCAAACAGCAACTTGCTTTCTCTCTTTTTTTTTAAGTTACTCATACGCCCCGTTTGTCAAACAGCAACGATGCAAGCAAACAATTCGACAACGCATTGGCCTCGGGGGTAGCATTTCGTAAATTGATTGGACAAACCACGTTAGACTTTTTCGTGTGTGTGTGTTTTCTTTTTTGCAAAAGTACCCAAATGTACGCGGAAATACGTATGTATGGACATACATACATACATACGTAAGTATGAATGTAGTTAAGTAAACATCGACGCGGAAAACAGTGCAGTGTGCGCAAAAAGCTTGCAACTTTGGCAAAGCCAAACTTAATTTAAGTATGCGCGCTTGTTAGTTACCCACTCAGTCGTACACTCTCACACTCACTTTTGTTGCAGTTGTGCACATTTACTTAGCGCAGGCATACCAAATTGCCATTGCGAGCGTGTGTGTGTGTGTATGCAAGCCGCTTTTGTTTGTGAGCGCGCGTACAAATAAAATTTTCTAATGTTTACTTAAAATGGTTTTTGAATGCATTTTTTTCTATCGTTTTTTTTCGTTGCAAGGATTTTGTTTTCTTTTTGAAGTTTGTTGCAGAACAAATATTTAATAACAATTGCAAAGCGCAGCAAGCAAAAGTAAATATAAAGTTTGCCTTCATACGCCGCGCGGCTGTGATTAGCAATTGCAACTGCAACCCGGCGCAATTACACAATGATACGAGTACATAAACGTATGTATNATTTTCGGCCCATCCGGTGGACAAAAAAAAGACGCAAACTTGTGATGCAGTGTAATAATATCAGGCCTTCTCTAAAAGGAAGTCACAGCTGAAAATTCTAAGTGTCTTAAAGCAGCTGAATGAATACTGATATTAACCTAACCTAACGCTTTTACTCAGTAGAATCTTTTGTTGCGCTCAATAGCCAAACAGCAACTTGCTTTCTCTCTCTTTTTTTTTAAGTTACTCATACGCCCCGTTTGTCAAACAGCAACGATGCAAGCAAACAATTCGACAACGCATTGGCCTCGGGGGTAGCATTTCGTAAATTGATTGGACAAACCACGTTAGACTTTTTCGTGTGTGTGTGTTTTTTTTTTGCAAAAGTACCCAAATGTACGCGGAAATACGTATGGACATACATACATACATATGTAAGTATGAATGTAGTTAAGTAAACATCGACGCGGAAAACAGTGCAGTGTGCGCAAAAAGCTTGCAACTTTGCCAAAGCCAAACTTAATTTAAGTATGCGCGCTTGTTAGTTACCCACTCAGTCGTACACTCTCACACTCACTTTTGTTGCAGTTGTGCACATTTACTTAGCGCAGGCATACCAAATTGCCATTGCGAGCGTGTGTGTGTGTGTATGCAAGCCGCTTTTGTTTGTGAGCGCGCGTACAAATAAAATTTTCTAATGTTTACTTAAAATGGTTTTTGAATGCATTTTTTTCTATCGTTTTTTTTCGTTGCAAGGATTTTGTTTTCTTTTTGAAGTTTGTTGCAGAACAAATATTTAATAACAATTGCAAAGCGCAGCAAGCAAAAGTAAATATAAAGTTTGCCTTCATACGCCGCGCGGCTGTGATTAGCAATTGCAACTGCAACCCGGCGCAATTACACAATGATACGAGTACATAAACGTATGTATGTTTGCCTGACCACTTGTTCAAGATACATATATACATACATGCCTACATACAGATGTTCATACATACATATTTGACTTTTCGACTGCTCGCTCGACTACCCGCCTCAGCACGTCCCGCAGTCAAACGGCTTAACAACCCACCTAAATTGGCTGGCATACACACGCACACTCGTACATGTACCCAATTCACTATGTTGGCATTATTATTGCCTAACTATGCATATCGAGCACACAAACATTCTATNCATATGTATGCCTGACCACTTGTTCAAGATACATATATACATACAGATGTACATACATATTTGACTTTTCGACTGCTCGCTCGACTACCCGCCTCAGCACGTCCCGCAGTCAAACGGCTTAACAACCCACCTAAATTGGCTGGCATACACACGCACACTCGTACATGTACCCAATTCACTATGTTGGCATTATTATTGCCTAACTATGCATATCGAGCACACAAACATTCTATACAAATATATACGTACATACATACACAAACTTCTCTATGTTGTGTGCGTGCATACATATATTCATGAGCACGCTCCCCCACTCACCGCACCACCGACAGTCGCCCTCACCACCGCCAAGTTAGTCATAGTGAGTCAGCTAGGCAGGCAGCCGGACAAAGTTAATAGCGGCGCTCCCCTTAAATGCCATCAAACTACTGACACAACTCATCGATATGCAACGCATGCAACTTACCTCAAGGCAAACAGGACACTCCAATAATTGGGCAATGTGTTGCAGGCATGTGGCGAACTTCTGCAATGACTGCTGATTAATACTGGTATGCTCTTGATGCTGATGTGCGCGCTGCCACAAGTTACGAAGTTGCAATGGTCACATGAAAATAGAAAATACAGCAGAAAAGTAAATTTAGAAAAAAATTGGCAGTTGCAAAGTAAATGACTTTAATTGGGAAGCATGAAAAAGGAACTTTTAAAAGTAGAAACAAAAAAGTGAAAAAATCATAAAATAAAAATTCAAAAAAATATGAAAAAGTTTAAAACACTGGGCCGTATGAATAAAAATAAGCAATTGCTTTTTCTTAAAATTCCAGATCTTTTACTCAATTTATTCAAACAAAATTGAAGTAAAAGGTATGAAATTTTAAGAAAAGGCAATTGCTTGGTTTTTATTCATACGGCCCACTGAGAGGCTTAACGATTTTTTACATCTATAAAATGACATAAGTACGGATGCCTAAGATTTGGAGATTATCACATAGGGGGCGTGGCATCTGATATACATACTAAAGTTTAAAAACCGATATATCTCTGAACAAAATTAAGTTAGGGAACTGAAACTTGGCAAGGATGCATAAATGATAAATACCCTACTCACGGCGAAAAATGGCAGGTACTGAAAAAGGGGACGTGACACTACCCATACAAACTGAAATTCGGATATCACTTACTCTCTCTGGAACTGCTTATGNCATCATTTCTTTATCCAGATATCCGAACATATGTCCGGTTATCCGCATAAACGGTTAGTCACAGCCCTAATTGACACACAAACATACATACATATATTTACATAGTAATAGTAAATAGGCAAGCAGCAATTTTTTTTTTAGTACCTACTATCTAGAACTCCCTACTAGGGTGTCCCTTATAATACCGATTTTCCTAATTTGTATGGCATTCCTTCCGAAGTTTTTTTTATTTTTTTTCTTTCTGAAATGCCATAACTTTTGCGCTCAAACTCAACTTGATCACAAAATGTTTCGCCCTGCCACAAGAAGTTTAAAGTACATATCTGTGCTCATATGCAATTGTAGCTTATGTCGAAAGGCTGGCTTTAGTATAAGGCAGCATTCGCAGCATACGATCGCGAATGACTCACTAGCGCCGTGTCGCTGAAGAACTTTTGGCAAATAAACGTTTAAGAAAAAGTTCCTAGTATCGGAAGTCAATATTCTTATTAAGTTTCATAAAAAAAAATTCCGTGTCGTTTAAAGAATAAAGGTAATGCCACATTATACTAAAGCCAGCTTCAAGACATGCTAAGAAATACAATTTTTGATTTATTCTAACGTGTTTTTTTATGTAATTGGTAATTTTGAAATTTCAATATTTTTCTAATGTTATATAATATACGAGTAATTTCAAAACCCGTCTTTGGATAAAGTTTCTTTAGTACAAGTTGAAAACTCTCGACGTAAGGCCTTGGATACAATAAGTAATTCCTGGAAATTTGCTTCGGACTTAACTTGGACCATATATTCCTGCTTCAACATCGTTAGTTACACTCAAACTTGAAAAAAAAAACATGCGAGCTTCTGTAAAGTCTTTTCGCAAATTCCAGGTTCCAGGATCAGAGTGTATGAAATTGAATTCCAATCCAAATCTTTCAAAAAGTTTAATAGTATTCGGAGTAGCGAAATCGCTCAAATCTTTTTTTAACCAGTTATTGATGTGATGTTACTTTTAGGCGTTGTTACCCGGAACCCTCCATTGCTCTTGAAGAGGCTGATTTACTCCGGGGGGGGTCTTTGTCAAAATCTTTTCCACCATTTTACTTTTAACTGAAAGGTGCACACCATCATCTAAGAGTGCTAATCCGGTTAGCTTCTGACTTGTACCATAAATGTCCACTGAATTTCTTTAAGACCGTATTAGAAATTAAGTTATCAGTCTTCTCATAAAGTTTCAAATCTAATAAAAATTTAAAGTCGTATGGAGGCGCATTTTTGACAGGAAAGCAACTTCTCTTGAAATTTTAGTAGAATAACTTCGTTTGGCTGTTTTTTGTTGGAGCGATCTCCATTCGGCATACAAACGTTTCAGCTGGCTTGCAATACAACTTTTCACTCGAGTAGGAATACACGCTTTCCCATATTTGCATTATATCCTTCGCTGTGAAAGAGTATGCTGCAGTTTAATATCCCTTGCCAGGTTTTGCACGTAACTTATTGATTAACAGCTTCAAAACTTGAAGGTTTGAAGGTAACCTCGCCCCACTTAGTTTATCTTCTGTGTGATGAATTAAATAAATACTCTGCCTCAATTTCTTTTTACCGCACTATTGACAAATGAAAAAAATACTTTCTTACTAGTGACGTTGAACACATCGCGATAATTCTTTCACTAAACTAATGGCACTATTTTATTGGTAAGACGCTGCATTTATATTTGTTCAAATCAGTGAAAGTGTTTTGTATAGAGGAAAATGTGTTATGTTAACGGCTTGCCATAAGAGAGAAAGAGACAAACTTATGTGCTGTTGCCAATGTTGACGTTTAACACTGGGATATATTTATAGACAATGAGTGGAACTTCCAACATGTACAACAGTTGCCACGAAGTTGGACTATAAAGAAAGTAGTAATTATTTTTGCAAACCAAAATTTGAATAAAAAGGAATGATTTAAAAGGCCTTGTGGCAGGGTCAAAACTTAAAGTACAGGTTCAGTTCTTCGCACGGATAATCTTAAACTGAAGAGGAACAAAATTAAAAAACTTCTCGATATAAATTGGAAAGTTGATTTTTAAGGGACACCCTACTCCCTACACATGGCCTTGAATGGCAGATTTTGTTAATTGATATGCGTTCATGCGCCCAGCTATATGTTACCGTTTTGCTACAGCAAGCAGCTTCTGTTAAATCGGAAGTCTATGTGTTTACGTGAGTGTACATATGTCTGTGTGTGTGCGGGTGTGTGTACAATTAATTCGGTAGGCAGCCTATACTTGAATATTTAGGTCAATTAAATTGTAATGCTTGCCGCTACTGCACGGATAATTCAATAAAACCGTTTGACTGTCAAACTAGAGGGGTGGGGAGGAGGAGGTAGGTTTGGATTGCGTGGCACAGTGAATGTTTGTGATATTAATGTGCAGAGCGTACTGAAATAATTAAATTAATATTTAGGTAATGCTAATGTTCGTTGAAAGCGTACGGCAGAAGCTTTGCTGTCCTCTGTAAGCCGCCCAATTTGCCCGATTAAATGAAAACATTTGCGTGCAACATTTAAGTGGGAAGCATTTGTGCGCTGGTATCGCTGGTGTCCGTCAAAGATCAGATGTTAAACTAAATAATTTAAGTGATAATTACGGCAGTTAAACTGTATTGGACAAATGTACATACATACATACAAACGGTGTTAGCGAAATTGTGCGGGAACGCTGTTTTTTCCCGCTCTTAAGTGCGCACTTATGTAGATATAATTAACTACAAATACAGTATTTTGACCTTCAGTGTTGCTTCGTTAAACTGTTAATTAATAACTTAACTAACTATGCATAAAAATATTCAAAAAAAAAACAAAATGATTTCCGAATTCATTGCATGCGCAACGCTGCTTTCTGCTAGAGCAGCTATGAAATTTAGCGAGGCATTTAATATCTACCGTTGAAGTAACACTATTGACCTACATTGGCAGCGTAGCACTACAACAACATAACCAAGTCAATCTATTGCTAATGTTTACTTGCTACTGCTTGCTATTACTTATATAACAGCGAAGCATGTTGATTACACTAATTTGCCAAGATTTTGTAAAAAAAAAAAATAAAAATAAAAATAAAATAAAGCTGTAAGAAAATTACCATCGCGTGACTTACAAAATGCACCACNAAAGCATGTTGATTACACTAATTTGCCAAGATTTCGTAAAAAAAAATAAATAAAAAATAAATAAAGCTGTAAGAAAATTACCATCGCGTGACTTACAAAATGCACCACATTCGACACGTTCTGTGCGCTTGCACAGCAACAGTAAATTGTCATGTTAAAAATTTTCACCGCTTGACTGCACTGCAAAGTTTCTTCCAACTTCAAAAAAAAAAACAAAACAAAAAAACTAATCCACTCAACTCACCTTTCTTCTACCTTCCACCGCCACTGCTGCTCTTTCGCTGTCATTGCTATTTGTAAAATGCTCTTGCGCGTCGCTGTCCTCATCATCATCTTCCTCATTTTCGTCGCTGCAGCAGCTATCCGCCTCTACTTCCCTACGCCAAATCACGACCGTCACATCGGTTGCACCACTTTGCCAATGCTCACGTATTCTCGTTGCGATTTCGAAGATTTTCTTTCCCAACACATCATTGCCATTGAACTCCAGTACTGTGTCACCGACGCACATACCGGCCTCTTCTGCGCTAGAGCCCTCCTGTATGCCACTCACCCATGGGTATGGATCCCAGGGTGCTCGACTAAGATGCAGGCCAAGTGTTCCATTTGGGCATGCGTTTATTTTGCAAATTTTCAACATTTTTCAACGGGCAGGTGAGATTGACTTTTTAGTGATGACAATAACTGCAATAAATGAAGCATAAGAATTTGAAAAAAATTAGAAGAGCAGTATATATTTAAATGTGTATTTAAAGATTGTAAAAGCTTGCCCAATTTTGGATGCGACTAAGTATATACTTCTTTAATCAGTGGCCTATGTCCGTGATACTTAATNATGAGATTGACTTTTTAGTGATGACAATAACTGCAATAAATGAAGCATAAGATTGAAAAAAATTGGAAGAGCAGTATATATTTAAATATGTATTTAAAGATTGTAAAAGCTTGCGCAATTTTGGATGGGACTAAGTATATACTTCTTTAATCAGTGGCCTATGTCCGTGATACTTAATTCTATCGAAAAAGTACTAGTAACCCCAACCGGCATCGTAATCCTAATCATAATCATAACCATAGTCATAATAATAATAATAATAACAATCATAATCGTAACCATTAGCATAATCATAATCACAATTTTAATTACAATAGTCAAAATAATAATCATATTCATAATTGTAATCACAGTCATAATCATAATCACAATCGTAGTCAAAATCACAATCACAATCATAATCGTAATGATAACATAATCATAATCAGAAGTCGCAATCTTAATCCTAATCAATAAAGTTGAAGACTTCAGCGAAGAAGTGCCTTATAAGATGAATAATATTTCACTTAGCCATCAGTAGCTTTTGTCAACGATTAAAGGTTCGGTCTTGAAATGAACTACAGTGGCCACAATAAAATTGTAATCTTTCGCAATCTTTCGCGGCAGTATACATAGAGTCATAGCACGACTCACAATGCCATAATATTTACAAACACAACAACAAAATGAACAGCTGTTTCGGTACGAGCGTGGCCGCGGTACCATCAACGTTGAATTAAAATGCTTGTCACTTGACTCTTGGCGCTCTTCGCTCACCCGTTCGCGTGATGATGCGTGTTTGTTGACGTGCATTTAATTGCCGGTTGAATTGGCACAAAGCCTTCACCTACAAAACTGATAACGACAATAAAGAAGAAAACAAAACAAAAAAATGACACCATTGCTAGCCCTTTTTTTTTGAGCTGTGCGCAACCGCAGAAAACCCCAGCAACAAAAAACTGCGTACACTGTCATTACAACAGACGTGATTACACACCTTTGCATAGTATTTACAACGCTATGTGTATGTAGTATGCTATGCACTTATGTACATTTATACAAATCGATGGTCCCCTGAAATAACGACACAACTCAAAATTTCAATAGAGCTAATTAAAGTTTTTGCGTTTCGTAATTTCTCAAAAATATATCTTAGAACGTAATTATTCCGCATTGTTTGCAGCTATTCTGTAGGGGAGCTTCTGTAAGCTTTCAAATTATTATTTTTTCTAAAGTTTTGGTAAGTGTTGGACTGCAAAAATACGAAATAAACAAGTAACAACTCATAACTCAAAAACATGGAATTTTGAGTTGTGCCGTTATTGCAGAGGACCATCGAAATGTACAATGTTGCTCGCTTACATATGGAACTTGCATACATATGTACTTTTGTATGCAACAACAGCACGCCCAAATATTCATTTGTTGTTTGTTATTTGCTCGGTTGGCTGGCTTCAAATGGCCAGCTGTGTTGTTGTTGCTGGGGGCGCTGGCCGATCACTTGCCTAGCAATTGTTGTTTTCATGTTGTTGTTTTGGTTGGACCCCATTTGCAAATGACATCGTTTACAGGGCGATCACGTTGTCGCCATCGAAAGTGAAGTGCGCATCCAATGAACGCATTAATGCCTCTAAGCCTTCGGTTGGCGGCATTTTCGGTGATGGCAGAGCAATTGCATAGCTTATGTTGTTGTTTAGTTGCTAAACGTGCCGCAGGTGTATGGAGATATTAAAGCGATTTGGTGACCTTGAGTTTAATAGCGGCAATGCAAAGGGTCACTTGGCCAAGGCGATTGTGGAAATTCAAATTCAACTCCTAGAAGTTCCGGCACTTGCTGGCAAATGATTGAGGAAATGAGTTACGATTTCCTAAAGCTGTTCAATCTGCTAGATGAGCAGCGGTGTAAATGTATGTACATATGCATGTATGTATGTATATAGTGTAGTATATGGAAAGCTTTTAGGGCGAAAGGGGAACGGATATCTACTAAATTTATTAAGTGTTCTCAGCAGAAATCAGAAAGAATATTTATTAAATAAGGCAAAATATCTTAATTACACGAGTATAACTAGGTCTTGAGCAGCGGTACAAATTTCACTACTCATTTATAAATCGCCGATGAGCAGTTTTTTGCTTAAACAGAATTATTTATTATTGTTATTCGGCTTTTCACTGTGATTGCAGCTACATTCTCGGACACGTAAGCTATCCGAGTTGATGCTGGCTCCTCGCATGCCCAGAACACTCGAATCAACAACGTGTCCACCCAAATGGATGGTGTCTGACACAATCAACTTATATTTCGTACGTAACTGCAACCCTTGACTAGTTGTTGAAGAGAATATCAGAATCTTTCTATTGATCTCTAATGAAAAAGGCTGCAATCAGTTGTTTGCAAACTGGTAATTTGAGGACAGAAGCAAATAATATTGCTCTCGCCAAAGACTTCCTGTACACTCCTGATGTTGTACTCATGGCGCCAGTAATGCCTAACCACGCTTGGCTTTATGAACCATTTTAAATAGAAACCGTGGTTTTGGCCATAACCGATTTTAGGCATGAAGTCTAGCTTAGAGCTCCATGAAATTGTTCGAGAACTTAAAGCGCTCAATTTAACTGCAACTCGCTTCTTACCACCACGATAAATACGAAGGTCATGCCATCCAAAGACGAATACGAATACAGCGGATTGTAACGAATACAAAGGTGAACATAGGAATATATATAAGTATACAAAAACTAAAAGGAAGGTGGAGAAAGTAATTTTGAAGCAAAAAAACAAAACCGACTTCACTTCCCATATAAAAATTTAAGATTATCGTTAATTTCTTCAAGATCTAATGATCGGATTTAAAGCAAATTAGAATGAGACCACCTTTGAGGAAACCTTTCATTTAAAAAAGGAATTATAGAAATCGGTTGACGAGGTCCTAAGTTATGCGGTAACATACATAAAGAAAAAAATTCATATTCCGACGAATTCATAACCTCCCTTTTTTTGAAGTCGGTAAAAAAAAAATGTTTGGCAACTGTAAAAACTAGAGAGCGGTCGAATTTCGCTAGTAACTGACTCTTCTTGTCTGAATTACTTTACTTCAAGTTCATACATACGACATTGTAAATACTTACTCATTATCTAAATCGCCATTGCGCCATACGTACATATATAGCGCCTTAACCGACACTGAACGCTCTACTGTAAAAGAACCGACTCACCTTCACTTGCTACGTCAGGTATATTAATGAGGTGGGGATTTGAGCACCCAGCTCTACCGTCAGTTTTTGCTTTGATGCAGTACACTTGGAAATATTAATAAAAATAAGGAAGGATTTTCGGAAAATTTATTTGGCTACATTCCATATGTACCAAAAATAGTGTGCCTCTGCAGAATATACTTTCAAGCCCGTAACTAGTCGAACAGCTGATTGTGTGTGAACAAAAAAAACTCACTCTATTAGAAAGTTTCTGTTTGAATACAATATGCCTCTCACAAAAAAAAAATTTACTAAATCAAAACTCCCTATACGCTAAAGCACAGATTCACTCTATGGGGCGTTCCGTACTAAAACGGACGGGGTTTGTCGAGAACGTGTTGTGTTGTGCAAAACTAGCATTATTTTTTTTTTAATTTTCTTTGAAAACGATTTTGCGCATTTTCTTCCATAAGAAAAAAGGCTCAAAAAGACGTCAGCATAAAAATATTAAGAATCATACTCAAAAAAAAAATCTAAAAAAAAATATAAAAAATTTTAAATTTTTTTTAAATTTTTATTTAACATAAATTAAATATCAGAGCTACCATTGTGTTTTTTTTTAATTTTTTTTGAGACGGCATAAAAACAAATTTTTTTTATCAAAAAATTTGTATGTGCAAAATTTTTCAGAAAAAAAAAAATTTTTTAATAATTCTTTTCATAGAGAATTTTGATGCGTGTATACGTGTTTTTTTTTTATTATTTCCCCGATCCGTTCTCGAGATATTTGGAAAACTACTAAATCGATATTAATCAAGCTCAAATTTCACATTTATTTATTATTTATGTTTATGTATAAACCCTATAAATTAGAAACAAATCAAACAGATGAAGTGTGAACACCGTCCGTTTTGGTATGGAACACTCCCTATGCAAACTGACCTAAAGCAAAGTATAAATTCTTTAGGCCCACATTCACTTCACGGAACTGAGTTTTATATGTGTTTACAACCTCATTAAATTTAATTCATTAATCTATTCACTTTCAGAATTACATCTGCCTCATTATCAGATAACCATTATTCGCCACTAGAAAAGAATCGCCGAAACATAACAATGTTAATATGTTCTACATATAACAATTGGCAAAAATATTGTGCTTAAATATACATACTTGTATACGTATGTACGTAAGTGAATACATTTTCCTGAGCCACACTTGAGAAAGGGGGAAGTAAAAATTTNATGTTCTACATATAACAATTGGCAAAAATATTGTGCGTAAATATACATACTTGTATACGTATGTACGTAAGTGAATACATTTTCCTGAGCCACACTTGAGAAAGGGGGAAGTAAAAATTTCGTAAACGCACCACGGAAACGAACGCCACTGACTGACTCACCATAAAACACACTCGGGCCCAAGCGGACGTACTTAAGTGATATGCGGATTTAAGCTGTAATCACGAGAGCAACAAAAATATACATATATGAGCACAACAAAAAAAAACAAAATGAATAACAAAAAATCCGCAACTTAAGTAAGACTCACAGATCTAGCAGACAAGCTACGCAAGCGAATACTACATATCTATGTACATATGTATGTATGTACTTAAGTTTATACCGGAANCAAAATAAATAACAAAAAATCCGCAATTTAAGTAAGACT